TCCTCCTCCCCCCTCCCCTCCCCATCCTCTTCCTCCTCCTCCTCTTCCTTCTCCAGTTGCAGCTCTTCCGATCCAGTCCCCAGGAAATCAGAGCATCAGCACCCTCTCCGGCCCCTGCTGGCTTTGTGAGAAGGACCTTTGTTCCCAGAGGATCTCTGTATCGTGTTATCACTTTAAGGTTCTGAGCTGTGGAGCAGCCGCAGTGACCCCTAGCCCTGGGCTGGGGAAGCCCTGGGAGGAGAGTCTACAGTTGTCACCAACACCTGGATTACAAACAGGGGGGTTTAAATTCACTTCCTTTTCAGAATTATTATAAATGAACCCTGATTTGAGAAAGCTGGTACCATATGCAAAAAATAATCCCAATTATAGGACAAGTTAGGAAATAGCATTTTTTAATTTCAAAAGAATGCTTTATTTTCTTATAGAAGCTGCTCCAGGATTCCTTTTATGCTTTTTATTTATTTATTTATTATTTTTTTGTGAGGAGGACTAGCCCTGAGCTAACATCCGATTCCAATCCTCCCCTTTTTTCTTGAGGAAGATTGGCCCTGGGCTAAAATCCATGCTCATCTTCCTCCACTTTATATGGGACACCGCCACAGCATGGCTTGCCAAGCGGTGCGTCAGTGCACGACCGGGATCCGAACCGGCGAACCCCAGGCCGCCGAAGCAGAGCGTGTGTGCCCAACTGCTTGCGCCACCTGGCCGGCCCCCCTTTTGTGTTTTTTATGCTGCTTCTAATGCTTTGAACATGTTGATCTAAAACAAAACAAAACAAGAGCTAATAACCTAGTTTATTAGGTAAGGGAGGACTAGTAAAAAGTGATTCTGCAAATGAAGTCAATGTGTGTGTGTGTTATTGTGGAAAGATGTCCGCAATATGTTGTTATGTGAGAAATGAAGGCACAGAACAGTACATACAGAATGACTCTACATCTGTTAAGTTAAAAACAAAGGAAAAAAGAAATTCTGGCAAACACTACACTATGTTTGCTTGTATCTAGAAAATGCCTGGAAAGATACACACCAAATAGTTAACAGTGTTTTTCTGGGAAGTGGGTTCAAGAGGGGAGGGTGATGAGGAATTTTCGTATTTGTACATCATACAATTTTATACTGCTGGTGTTTTTATAATAAGCCTATATTATTTACAAAATTAAAACAGAGAGAAGAAGGAAGGTTGTAGGGAGAGGCTGATGGGTAGGGGCATCAGGAAACTAACATGGGCTCCAGCCTTACTGGTTTATAGAAGTTTTATTTATTGTATACATTCTGATGATGATTGTTATATATGAAAAGCAAGAGGTGTAACAAAGTCATGACTGGAAGACTGTGTTTCTAAAAAGTTCTATTTACTTTTTCCCTGAGTCACTTAAATATTCTAATCTTTGGGGAATTTGGAATAGAATTGTAAAGATGCTTGAGGTTAGACCCAAATCACTATTCATTGTATCTTTGCTGTTCAGAAAGGAGGAGCTTGAGATGAAAGGCTGCCGAGTGGCTGGAGTGGAGGGCTGGATTCAGAGCACCCAGCCTTGGTTCCTGGCAGCCGCTTTTGGCTGAGGGAACTGGAGCAAGTCAAGCCGTGTCCTACTTTGCCTGTCCATGGGGTGAAGTGGCGCACCAGGCCTTATTGCCCTCTTAAGGTGTAATTATTAGAAAACGTTTAGATCCTCGCAGGAAGACAATTCAATACAAAATTTCTTGGTCGAAAAATTTTATTTATTTATGTTTTGGTGAGGAAGATTGGCCCTGAGCTAACATCTGTGCCATTCTTCCTCTATTTTGTATATGGGACGCTGCCACAGCATGGCTGATGAATGGTGTCTGGGTCCATACCTGGGATCCGAACCCACAAACCCCGGGCCACTGAAATGGAGTGTGCGAACTTAACCACTACGCCACTGGGCCAGCCCCGAAAATTTTGTTATGTATAAGTCAACCTTAAATTTTCAGAAGAAAAAAGTTTTCCCTTGGATATACATTGATTCAAGTGCTTTTCCATGCTGAATTTTTGTATTTAATTATTTCTTTATCTGTGGAACTTGATTTTATATATTTAGTACAATTAGATCTGTATAACACAAGTTTGCATTTCTTATATGCAGGCTTTCAAAGTAAATTCTCATGTTCTTTTGATGCTCTATTAAGTTCCTGAACTGCTGCAGTAATTTGGTAAGATCTAAATTTAGTCCCCATGTGGTCCCGCCCTCCTCTCTCATCGCTGTGCACGACTGTCGCCCTTTTCCTGCACTCCTCCGCTCTTTCCTCCGCCTGGATTTGTTACTGTGTCCCCCTCTTCCACCCTCAGTGGGCTGTTTCTCCCTGCTCTCCCTTCCAGTTTCTTGTGACTAGGAGGGTGACTGCAGGGCTTTCTGGCCCCTTCCCAGGCCAGACCAATGGCAAAGGTGCTTGCGATGGTAAAGGTTCAAGGGGCAGGTGACTTTGTGGCTTACTGTCTAAGCCAAGGATCAAAAGTCTTGTAACCGTCCTCAGTTTCTCCTTTTCGGATGTTGGTCCTGACACCCTCTGGAATCCCACGTGACCCCAGGGGAGAGCGTGGAGATGGGCTTGGAAGGAGCACATAAAGCAGCCTTGCCTGCTTGTGTTGTGTGTCTGCTCAGCATGGATGGGAAGAAATAGGGCCTGAGAGCAAAAATGTTCACTTATTGAAAAAAAAAAAAAACATATCTATATATATATAAAAAACTTCCAAATCTCTCCCCACTGTATCCAGAGATCAAGTTAGATCAAGTTAACACGATGAAGCCAAAAGTAGCACAAGTCACAATTTTACCATCAACTAAACCAGGAAACAGGGGAAACCTCTTCAAAAATCAAATAGTTTTAAGCTGTAAGTGATATCAGTTTGATGTTGGTAATTAACAGTTACCCCTCAGTTTGGCAAGCAACAGCTCTGGAGTGATCCTTTATCACGTGTATGGGGACACTGACATGGAGATACAGAGCAGAAGCCCGGCAGCCAGGGCCCACTGACCCTATGAGGTCAGCCTGAGTGGTTTACAGGCAGCTCCAAGCCTCGGATTTGGGGCAGAGCCGGGCTGGAGCTGGCTGCCAGCTAACGGTGCAGCCCCGAGTGAGTCCGCCACTTTTCTGATGTAACGAGGAGTTTGGGAGTGGAACAGTCTAGCCCCTAAGAGTCTGTACCCACCGGTGAGCCCTTAGCTATAATTAAGCTAGGTGATTCTGATTTTTTGTTTTTCATAGTTATATATGCTAATTCTGACTCGCCATTTATAGAATTAACTCCCTATTCTACCTCTTACAATTACCAAAATGTTTAATAATACCTTAATTGAATAACTTTGAGTTGGTTTGTATGTATAAAATGGCTGACCATGTAACAAAGTCTGCGTCATTAAAGATTTATTTAATCTAACAGCAAAGAGCAAAGTTTTAAATAGTTCACTCCTTTAAAGCTTTTAAAAAACTTAATTCACATAAGTGACATGCTTATTACATATTTTACAGTTTAACAGCACAAAAGCATGTGTAGTAAGAACTGACAGCTCCCTCCACTTTCCCATCTCTCCACCGGAGCAACCATTATGTCTTTTCAGAACTTTTTCTATAAATTCCTGCATATGATAGGGTGTAAATGTGGGGCTGTTTCCTTTTTTAAACATAAATTGGATCATGCTACGCATACAATTATCTTGCTAACCTTTCCTACTTAACTAGATCTGGGGCCTCTTTCCTTATCAGTGCACATGGACAGATCAACCTCATTTTTATGACTGGGAGCTAGAATTATTTCACATTTCCATAATCATGCTTATATTAGTTGTCTTGCAAGTTCTTACTATTACAAATAATGCTACAGTACGTTTTCTTGTATATATATCATTGTGTTCCTACACAAGCATGCGTGTTTAAGTTATACACCTGTGGATGTGTGTGAAATGAGCCTATTGCTACCAGTGATAGAAGATGTACAAAATTCAGAGTGATGAGCGCTGGAGACATTACAGTGTTAGGAAAATATGATGTTCCTAAACCGTGTGCCCTTCTACGCTTTTGTTGCCTAATGTAATTGCAATTTAGTATGCATTATTGGATTTTAATGAAAAGTTTTTCTATGTCATAATTCCATGAGTGGAGACTTCAAAGAAGAGTTAAGTTTGAAGGTCAATATCCTTTTAAAAAATGTTTAATTCTAAGCTGATTTTAAGAAAGGTTTGTGGATGTGGTCAGAGAGCCATGTCCAGTTAAAGCAGGGCCGCTGACAGCTGAAAAACCGAGAGGCCGCAATCAGCAGCTCTGCGCAGCATTTCAGATCTCAGCTTCCTACGGCCTGGGGAGTGGGCTGCCATCACGACAGGAGACGGTGGGCTCTTTTCTTAGCCATTTTGTCCACTTGGGAATTTAGATATTGAGATAACACATAAATGGTTTTATTCCTAACTTATTATGTTGTTTGTGCCAAATTGGTAAAATTTTAATAATTATCCTAATAACCAGTTTAATCACATATTCACAAGGCATAGTGTGTCTTAAACAGACAGCTTTCTACCACAAAAAGTATAGCACATTTTTTTGGTTGAGAGTTCTATTAAATACAGAATCCAGGAGATTCGTTTTAGGTTTGGGGAGTGGAGCATATGTTGACATGAGCCTTGACCTTTCAGAAACTGTCTGCTGACAACCCTGCTGTCCTTTTTATTTCCCAGTGCTCGGTCTGGTCCTTCCCATGTGGGCCATAGCGCTCATCTCCTTTGGGGTTGCGCTGCTGTTCGCCCTCTTTGTGTGGCTCTTTGTGTGTCCGTGGATGCGGAGGAAAATAGCAGGTGAGGGCTTTTTTATTCTTCTGATTTACAACAATGCTCCTGATTCCTCAGACTTCAGATGTAATCCACAATCCTTACTAACAGAGGGAAGTTGAAGCATGGATAACTCTAGAACATACACTGAGATACATGCCTCGTCCTTGTCTCTTGGCTCCTGACTGCTTTCTGGCTGAAACTTTCTCTTCATCTTGTGGCCTAAGTGAGCTGTAAGGTTCTAGATGCCATGCAGACTGGAAGTTAACTATGCAGTCAAGTTCTACCAGCCTGATGAAAAACATGAGTCCTTAGGGAAATGCAGATTAACACCATAATATATCACTTCACACCCGCAAGAACCGCCAAAAGTAAAAGACTAGCGATTCCAAGTGTTGATGAAGAAGTGGGTTAACTGGAATTCTCATGTCTTCATGGTGAAATGTAAAATGGTACAACTGCTTTGGAAATTAGTTTAGCAGTTTCCTGTAAAGTTAAGCACTTACCATGACCCAGTAATTCCACTCCTAGGCATTTATCCAAGAGGAATGAAAATACACGTTCATAAAAATACTTGTACACAAATCATTTAGTCATAATAGCCAAAAACTGGAAACAACCCAAATGTTCATTAACAAGTGAATGGATAAACAAATCATGGTATATTTATATAATTTCATATCAATTCCTATAACAAGACTACTTAGCAATAAAGAGAATGAACTACCTGTAAATAAATTTCACAGGTGTTACGTCGAGCAAAAGAAGCCAGATACAAAAGAGTACATACTGTAAGATTCCAGAGAAAATTGATCTGTAGCGATAGAAATCTCTGGTTCCTGGGGCGGCAGGGGGTTTAGGAGACTGACTGTAAAGGGTCAGGAGAGAACTTCTCAGGGTCGTGGAAATGTGCTCTGCCTTAACGGGGGAGTGGTTATGGGGTGTCCTCATGTGTCATGGGTCATCTACCTGCACATTTAAAATGTATGAATTTTATTGTATGTAAATTATACCTCAATAAAAACAATTTTTGAAAAAACAAGAAGAATATGGCTTAGAAAGCTGTTGGAGCTATTTTCCTGTCACTAGCAACGTAATTGAATTCCAAGCCTTGAGGCCACATGCTTTTACAGGGCTCTCAAAAGAATTATTTACTTTTGACCTCAGAGTGTGCCACACAATCATGTTTCAGTGTGGACATATCTGAATTTGAAAACCCATATTTCAAAGAAGACCAAAACAAATGAGACATACCATGCTCATGAATTGGAAGACTCAATATAGTATAGATGTCAGTTTTTCTCAAATTGCTCTACAGATTTAACACAATTTAAATAAAAATCCTAGTAGGAGATTTTTGTAGATTTAGACAAGCTACTTTTACAATTTATATGGAGGGGCCGGCCTGGTGGCGTAGTGGTTAAGTTCACCCTCTCTGCTTAGGCAGCCCAGGGTTTTCGGGTTTGGATCCTGTATGCGGACCTACACGTTGCTCATCAAGCCATGCTGTGGCGGCATCCCATATACAAAATAGAGGGAGACTGGCACAGATGTTAGCTCAGGGACAATCTTCCTCAAGCAAAAAGAGGAAGATTAGCAATGGATGTTGGCTCAGCGCCATGCTCCCTCACCAAAAAAAAAAAAAAAAAAGATTATGGGGAAAGGCACAGGAACTAGAATAGCCAAAACAATTTTGAAAAAGAACAAAGTTGGAGGATTCATACTACTTAACTTGAAGACTTCCTTTAAAGCTGCAAGACAATGTGGTATTAGTGAAGAAATAGACACCTAGATTAATAGAACAGAATAGAGTCCAGAAATAGACCCACACAAATATGGCAAATTGATTTTCAACAAAGTACAAAGGCAGTTCAATGAAGAAAGAATAGTCTTTACAACAAATGGTATTGGACTAATTAGACATCCATATGCCAAAAAAAGAATCTTGATGTAAGCCTTATGCCTTGTAAAAAAAAATAACTCAAAATGCGTCATAGACCTAAATGTAAAATAGAAAATAATAAGACTTTTAGGAAAAAAAATAAGGGAAAATTTTTGTGACCTTGGATTAAACAAAGAGTTTTTTAATATGACACCAAAAACACAACTCATAAAAAAAAGAAGTTGATAAAATGTACTTCATCAGAATTAAGAACTATTGCTCTGTGAGAAACACTGTTAAGGGAAGGCAAAGACAAGCCACAGACTGGGAGAAATGTTTGCAGGTCCCCTGTCTGACAGAAGACTTGTTTTCAGAATACATAAAGAAATCCCAGAAAACAACGCAGAGGAAAAATGAGCAGAAAATATGAACAGACACTTCATCGATAAAGATATGTGAATGGCAAATAAATCTATGAAAGGTGCTCAGCATCACTAGCCATCAGGGAAATGCAAATGATAGCTGCAATGAGACACCACTACACACCAATTTGAACAGCTTTCAAAAAAACAGACAATGCTAAGTGCTGATGAGGATGAGGAGCAGCTGGAACTGCTGATGGGAACGAAAAATGGTACAGTCACCCAGAGAAGCAGCTTGGCAGCTTCTTATCAGGTTAAGTATACGCTTACCCACTCCTAGGTATTTACCCAAGAGAAATGAAAATTTAAAATCACACAAAAATCTGTACATGAATGTTTATAGCAGCTTTGTGATCACCAAAAACTGGAAACAACCTGGATTATCCACAGAATGAATAAATAAACTATGGTGCATCCATATACTGGAACACTACCTAGCAGTTAAGAAGAATGAACTATTGATACATGTAACAACTTGGATGAATCTCTAAGGCATTATGCTGAGTAAAAGAAGCCAGTCTCAAAAAATTACATATGGTTTCATTTCTACGGCATTCTGAAAAAGACAGACTGTAGGGACAGAAAGCAGATAATGGTTGTCAGGGGTTAGGGCTGGGCCGAGGGTCTGACTACGAGGGGAGCTTTGGGGGATGATGGAACCTTTCTGTATCCTGATTGTGGTGGCGGTTACACGAATCTAGACGTGTTAGAATCAGGACACACACACATGCAGATGCAATTTACTGCATGTAAATTTAAAAACTGATAATAAAAAAAATCCACATTATGTACTTCATCAGAATTAAGAACTATTGCTCTGTGAGAAACACTGTTAAGGGAAGGCAAAGACAAGCCACAGACTGGGAGAAATGTTTGCAGGTCCCCTGTACATACAGGGGACCTGTATGTACATACATTGTCAAACATTTGCAATTAATTAATTGCATACAATGTCAAACTAAATAGTGAAGCCGCATTGAACATGGATTGATAACCTCCTGCTTCCTCCCCTCGCGTGTAGGTGCTCCCTGCTCTCTCCTGAATGTAAATACCACCTCCTCCAGGCATACAGAGTACTAGCCTAAGATGAGCCCCTTAACCTACTGCTTGGCTGATTTAACCCCAGGGGAATGATAAACTATACTCACATGCTTTGATTTTTTTTAAAGGCTTTTCCTAATAGCTGAACTTGCATGTCAAATGGAGCATAAAGTCTTTGCTTTCCAGCTGTAGGCTATAATGTCATAGCAGGAAGCTGACATTGCTCCCCATTCTGGCTTCCCAGGAGATTTTTTGTCAATGCGACATATTTTGATATTTCAACATATAGTTCTTGTTCTGTTATTTTAAGTACACACTAGTGATTAAGGGCATGTGACCCTGGGCAAATGGTTTAATCACCCTGTGCCTCAGTTTGCTCACTAATAAAATGCAGAAAATAATAACCTGTCTTGTGTGTTAACAATTTTTGTTTTAATTATTATTATAATCTTTATAAATATTATCTTTTCTCATCTAGATTATAAGCAATTTGAGGTCCGAGATCTGAATATACATTTTTTTTGTTCCCTGTAGTACATAATAGAAACTTAGTATTAAAAAACCTATCTGGGGCCGGCTCCGTGGCTTAGCGGTTAAGTGTGCGCGCTCTGATGCTGGCGGCCCGGGTTCGGATCCCGGGAGCGCCCCGAGGCACCACTTCTCCGTCCAACGTGAGGCCGAGTCCCACGTACAGCAACTAGAAGGATGTGAACCTATGACATACAACTATCTACTGGGGCTTTGGGGGGAAAAAACTGAATAAATAAAATCTTAAAAAAAAAAAAAAAAAAACCTATCTGTATATCTGACTGTCTCGGTGCATAAAGAGAGTTGATAAAGATAGGGATGATGAATGAGTGTATCCAGCAGAGGGGAGTATTTCCACTTCAGTCCTGGAGGTGAGAGCTTCCAGCTTTGCTCAGGAAGAGGAGTAAATCAGCAGCACCAGGTGTCAGATGTGACTAAAAAGAAGGCTGCAGAGCTTTGAAACTGCTTCTTTACAATCCCTTGTTTCTTTTGAAAGTAAAGGATTTTTAAAAGTAAGCGGGATCTCTCTGTTCCTTTTTGGAAAATGGTTTACTTTTTTCCTAAGATTTGGTGACCAGAAGAAATCTGAGACCAATAATTTATTGAACAGAAGAAAACCAAACACTATAACAATATCTTTGAAGACAAAAAGGATAAACATTTCAGTGATTCTGAGGTTAGTTTAAGAAAATAGAAGGCCGGTCTGGAGGGTTGTAGAGTGACAGAATGTTAGCCCTGGGAGGGACTTTGGGGATGGGAAGCAGGCCTGTCTTTTTTGTTGGTTTTGGATGAAGTGGCTCAGGCTAAGCCCGCATCTTCTCCTCAGTAGCTGAATTTTCTGCCTTGCGTTTCCCAGATAATTGATTGAACTCTCCACTTTATTTTCTCTATGTAGCTATAACTTTTCTTTCGTTCCCACAGTATAAAGATAAACGTTTTTTATATTCATTTTTCAATAACAAGAATTCTCTTTCGAAATTTTCAGTTATGACTACTATATTTTCTTTAGGCAAATTACAAAAAGAAGGTGCTTTATCGCGAGTCTCTGATGAAAGCCTCAATAAAATTGAGGAAGTGGAGTCCCCAGTGTTTAAAGAGCTACCAGGTGCCAAGACCAGTGACGACAGCACAGTCCCTCTCACGGGGCCGGCGGGGGACACGGCTGGGGCCTCGGAGGGCGTCTCGGCGGGAAACCACCCCCGGGCCTCCTACGGTAAGCCCCACGTGGAGGGGTGGGGTGTGCACGGCGCTAGAGAGGGGTCCGGGGGTACCCGGCCGGGCCTGCGTGGGGGCGCTTAGGTTTTAATGCAGGAAAGTGTCCCCCAATTGTATGTTTTGAGAAAACCCAGGGGCTGAAGAGGCCTGGGGAAGCCTCTCAGTCAGCAGGGCAGGCCTACTGTTGCCCTGGACGTGCAGTGCGGCCGGCGGTGCCCGGCCCGCGCGCTGAGCCTCGGGGCAGCGCTCCCAGCGGCGCGTGCGCATCTCCCATGTGCGGAGTTGCTGCCGCTGCAGGCTGGTTGTGCAGTTTACGAAGAACGCCTTCCCGGGGGAAGACGCGCACAGAAAGCTGAAATTGCAACCAAGGAGGTCGTCCTACTGTAGAAGCACACAAGCCTCAGAAAAGCTCAAGACTGCCCTGGGGGTGTCCTTTTGTCTCATAACATTTGTGGACAATGCTGGGCGAGCACCAGCCTCTGCCAAGCCTGTCCGGGCAGCTTCCCGCCTCCCTGCAAGGTGGGCCCTGGCACCCGCTTTCCGTGGGTGCCGTCTCAGACTCGGCGCAAAGAGCGCAAGGTAATTTTGCCCCACCGACCTGACGGATACTGCCTGTGACAGTCATGGTTGGCCTGTTAAGGAGCACCTAGAGTAACTGTCTCATGGGGAACTGGGTGTTGTCCTTCATGTGTCAGGTTTTCCTAAAATAAGTTCTTTGTAAGGATTCTCCCTTCATTGGTTACTAGAAACAGGAAAGAGTACTGTAGTAATTTCTGGAGACACTTTTCAGGAGAACTTAAATAACATCATTTTTTAAATACCATGTTATTAGTTATACCCTTTTGTTGTATATTCCCACGTTTCCTTTTTTATTTTAGCCATATTACATGTCCTTTATGGTCAATTTAGAAAAGAAAGCGTGTGCAAAAAAATTGAAATCGCCCATAATCCAACCTTCCAGAGATAACCACCATATAAGGAGCGGGCAGTATTTCCTTCCAGACACACTTAATGTTCAGAAGGCTGGAAAAGAAGACTCTTTCTTTAACCCTTTTCAGGAAGGGCGCTTTCCATGACTCACGGCTCTGTGAAATCGCCCGTCTCCAATGGCACGTTCGGCTTTGACGGCCACACGAGGAGCGACGGTCACGTGTATCACACCGTGCACAAAGACTCGGGGCTCTACAAAGACTTGCTGCACAAGATCCACACAGACAGGGGCCCCGAGGAGAAGCCGGCACAGGAGAACAGCTATCGGCTGCTGCGACGGAACAACAGCTACACTTGCTACACCGCAGCCATCTGTGGGCTGCCGGTACACGCGACTTTCAAAGCTGCTGACCCGCCGTCCGCGCCAGAGGACAGCGAGAAGCTGGTGGGGGACACTGTGTCCTACTCTAAAAAGAGACTTCGCTACGACAGCTACTCGAGCTACTGCAACGCGGTGGCAGAGGCTGAGATCGAGGCGGAAGAGGGAGGTGTGGAGATGAAGCTGGCGTCGGAGCGGGCAGACCCTGAGCAGCCTCCAGAGGACGCTGCGGAAGAGGAGCGGGAGGAGAAGGACACAGCCGAGGTCCACCTCCTGTTCCACTTTCTGCAGGTCCTCACTGCGTGCTTTGGATCCTTTGCTCATGGGGGCAATGACGTGAGGTGAGTACGTTCGTTCATTCAACAAGTACGTCTGGAGGGTCTGCCGTGTGCCCGGCACTGTCCTGGGCGCCGCCATACAGCAGCGAACAACACGCCCAAAAATCCCTACCGGAAAGGAGGGCGGGGGGGGCGCAGACAGTAAACAGATAGATAAGTAACTCGTTTAGGGTGCTAGACGGTGATCAGTGTTAACGGGAAAAATAAAGTGGGGGGAGGGGCGCATCGGGGGGATTGCCATGCTGGATAAGCTGTCGAGGTGAGGGCTCGCTGAGTGAGATCTGAAGGGTGTGAGGGAGCCAGGATGTGCGCATCCCGGAAGGGGGGACGCAGGAGCAAAGGGCTGAGGCAGGAGTGTGCCGTGTGTCTTCTAGGAAGAAGAAGGAAGCCACAGAGGGAGAGTGTAGACTGTAAGGTCAGCAGGTCATAGAGGCCAGGAATGTGTAGGGAATCCCGGGAATATGTAGAAAGTCTCTTCTCTCACCTCACTAGCTGGGTAGCACTGAGTAGACAAGTCACTTGATTTCCCAAAGCCTCAGTGTCCCAATCTAATTTACGGGTAAAACTAGTACCAAGCTCATGGGGTTTCCATGAGGATTAAGTGAGATGCTTTATATAATGTGCGTAGGAGATTGTTCCTCACATAATCGGTATCTATATGTTTTCACTATTACTCTCATTATAATTTTCATGCAGGGCTAATCTTTTCATCCAAATCAGGAAAATGTGCTATTGTTGCATTTTTTATCGCCCAGTTACATGACTCTCCGTTTTACAGTGGGTTTCCATACACTGTCCACCCACATGCAACTGCATTTCTGTTCTTTTTAAAAGAAGTCTTCCCGCCAGACAGAAGGCCAGACGTCGTCTGTTCTGCTCAGTGTCACACATGTGTTGCCTGTGATTTTATTTGAGGCACCGTGTTCTCCTATCTTCTTAATTTCTTGATTGCCCCTCCTAGCACCACCTAACTTCCTCCTCCTTATCGAGAATTCTTTGTTGAAGGCCTGGTGCTGGCAACGGGTCATGCATTGGGTCCCTGTCCTTTAGGAGTTTAAGCTCCAGTTAGGGAGATAAGAAAAGCATGTACGTGGGAAAGTAATAAACCACGCAAAACCAGTATTTCAAGGCCTAAGGAAGAGCTTAGGCAGCCACTGCTACAGGTGACCAGAGTTCAGAGCAATTGCTTGCAGTTTAGGGCTGGTTTTGAGGCTTTTGGGGAGGGATATGGTCTGATAAAAGCAAGGTTCTAGAAATAATAATGTGACAGTGAAGAGGGGGCTTCTGTCCACTCCACAGAGGTTACTAAGTTTGCATCAGGCCTCGGTGCTGAATCATTTATAACCTACTCTAATCCTCCTCAAAACAGCCCTTTGAGGTCCTAAGTAGTATCCTTCAAAGTTAGGGGATCTGGAGCTCAGAAATGTGACATTTCGTGCCCAGGATCACACAGCTAGAGAGAAGCAGACATGGGAGCCCGTTCTTCGTAACCCTCACTGTCTACACAGAGTGTAGAGTGAGCTGGGAGGAGGAGACTAGAGCTACAGAAGCTGCTGAGAGCCTGTGTGTGGTTCTGCATGTAAGGAGCTTGGAAGTTGTCACTCTGTCCTAACAATGAGTAAGAAACTGAACAGACTGAAAAATCAACAACCCTTCTTGGATCCATAAGAGAGAGGAGGACACAGGGCAAAGCGCTGTCCCCACGACTGGAGAGACACACAAGGACAGGGAGTTGTGGAGGAGACTCACGAGTGGAAACTGCCGTGGGAACCAGTGCCGGGTGGGAAAACCTGAACTGTAGTGATGAATCCCGGGGGCTCCGTGCAGACAAGTCAGAGAGCTGAAGATTCCAGGGCACCCAGTGATGGGGAACCCCACCATGTTGTGAGTCTTACCTCTAGAAACTCTACCAGGCTCTCACAGTGAATATTGGAGAAAAAAATCCCCTCCTGCTTCTGTCAGAGGCAGGGGGAAAGTAACTATTTTGACATACCCAGAGCACTCTGTTTTTTGTTTTTTTGGTGAGGAAGATTAGCCCTGAGCTAACATTTGTTGCCAATCCTCCACTTTTTGCTAAGGAAAATTGGCCCTGAGCTAACATCTGTGCCCATCTTCCTCTACTTTATATGTGGGATGCCTGCCACAGCATGGCTTGATAAGTGGTGTGTAGGTCTGCACCTGGGATGCGAACCTGCAAACCCCAGGCCGCCGAAGCAGAGCACACAAACTGAATCAACTATACCACCAGGCCAGCCCCAAGAGTACTGTTTTAACAAGGCCTGCCCTCAGGGGAAGCTAGTTAACCAGATCCTAACCTGCTAGGGTATTATCAGAGCCCAACTCACCTGAGGAAAGGGAAATACCCAACTGCAGCCCAGTGGAGCCATCCTGTTCTACATAAGGGGGAGAAAAAAGACCGAGAGACACTTGTGAAGTTCACAGTCCAGAGGCACAGGCTCACTAAAAGACTGAGACCTGATCATAGGACTATAGAGCGCTTTCCCTCCCCACACACGTCACCACCACATCACTAAAGGCCTATTTACAGCAGTTCCTTTTACCCAGTACATCATGTCTGGCTATCAAGAAAAAATTACAAGACATACCAAAAGGCAAAAACACAATTTGAAGAGACAGAGCAAGCATTAGAACCAGGCATGGCAGGGATGTTGGAAATATCAGACTGGGAATTTGAAACAACTATAATTAATATACTGAGGGCTCTAATGTAAGCAGAGAGATGGAAATCCTAAGGAAGAACCACAAGGAAATACTAGAGATAAAAAACATTATAATAGAAATGAAGAATGCCTTTGATGGGCTTGTTAGTAGACTGGACATGGCTGAGGAAAGAATCTCTGAGCCAGGGGATATCTTAATAGAATCTTCAAAAACCAAAAAGCAAAGAGAACAAAGATTGAAAAAATACAGAAAATAATACCCAAGGACTATGTAACAATTACGAAAGGTGTAACATACACATAATGGGAATACTGGAAGGAGAAGAAAGAGAGCAAGGGACAGATGAAATATTTGAAACAATAATGACTGAGAATTTCCCTAAATTAATGCCAGACACCAACCCACAGATCCAGGAAGCTCAGAGAACACCAAGCAGGATAAATGCCAAAACCCCCTACACCTAGGCATATCATTTTTGAGCTACAGAAAATCAAAGAAAAAATCTTGGAAGAAGCCAGAAGGAAAAAACACCTTACCTATAAAGGAACAAAGATAAGAATTACATCCACCTTCTCCTCAGAAACCATGCAGTCAGAAGAGAGTGGAGTGAAATATTTGTAGTGTTGAAAGAAAAAAACCATCAACCCTGTGAAATTATCCTTCAAAAGGGAAGGAGAAATAAAAACTTTCTCAGACAAACAAAAATTGAGGGAATTTGTTGTCAGTAGACCTGCCTTGCAAGAAATGTTAAAAGAAATTCTATAGAGAGAAGGAAAATAATATAGGTCAGAAACTCAGATCTACAGAAAGCAAGGGAGAGCATCAAAGAAGGAATAGGTGAAGGTAAAAAAAAAACTATTTTTTTATTCTTAATCTAACAGGTAACAGTTGATTCAAAATAATAATTATGTATGCTTATGTATATATTACATATAGATGTATATAATTATATATATATATACACATCTATCTGTAGTTTACTATATAAACATATCTGAACAAATTTGAAAGAACAGAAATAATACAATGTCTGCTCTCAGACCACAGTCAAATTAAACTAGACATCAATAACAGAAAGATTACTGGAAAATCCCAAATTACATATAGATGTATATAATTATATATATATATACACATCTATCTGTAGTTTACTATATAAACATATCTGAACAAATTTGAAAGAACAGAAAT